GCAACAAAGTGAAAGGGATTTTCCGGCGTTTATCTGTGACATACCTTTTGCGTTATGCATTTTTCACACAAAGTCCGAAAGATCACGACACATAGCGACAAATTTTATATGACACGGCGTAAATAACTAAAAACATGACTTTAAACACTTTTAATTTTTTAATTTTTTATTTGTACTATTTTGTTGAACATGAACGAAAAATAAACAGCAATTTGTATTGTATTTGCAATACAGTGAGTGGAAGACCGACCTATCCCGGCAGCCAGTTCGAAAACGTCCTATCTCAGAACACTTTTCAAAAACGTCCTATTTCAGAAATATATTGAAAAACGCCCTATCTCTGAAAACGTTTCAAGAGCACCCTATTTCATAAAAAAAAACGCCCTATCTCAACATATCTTCAATATATTTTCAGTTGAGATGGGACGTTTTTGTACAAAATTATGAAATAGGGCGTTCTGGAAAAGTTTTCTGAAATAGGGCGTTTTTCAATCAATTTCGGAAATAGGGAATTCTTGAATAGTTTTCTGAGATACGGCGTTTTCGAACTGGCTGCCGAGATAGATCGATCTTCCACTAAGGTGTCGTTATGTGTATTTCGTCATTAGTAACGATATGTATATTTATTCATTAATTAGAGAACAATTTCAACCTTTGAAAGGTTCCCACAAAACTTTACGGTTTTAAAGCATTCCTGGCACTTTGCTGTGGTATCAGTAATTTTGTAAAAATAAATCCATACTTTAGATTTTGGCGGTGTCATTGCTTAAAGCAATTATTTTTCATAAAAACGACGCTGCCAAGATATGGCACTTGCTCAAATCCATTCGATACAAGTGCTTTTCTTTCGATACCAAGTACGAATCGATACAACGATTCGAGTAAAAAAAGTAGTTGGTATCGAAACAAAAGTATCGAGTACGTACTCGTATTTACTTGTATCGGAACATCCCTAGCCAAAGCTAAGCAACAACGACGCCAACATCGTGCACCTGTCACCAGAGCCACCAGCAGTGGAGCAGCAAAGCAGCAGGGACACTCATATATTAACATAGATAGCATAATCTGCTAAAACGGTTGCACTCAATTATTAGGTTGAGTACTTTGTTAGTTGAGATCGGATATCAAATAGAGACTTAAAGTTAACATTTCTTTCTTAGAGAATTTTTTTTAAGAATATTATCTTTTTAAGTACATACATAATTAGTTATTTTCTTTTCATAGTAGTTTTAACGCTGAAGTTTGCTTACCTAGTTTTGTATATTGCTATTCCCTCTCTTGTTAGTTTATACGCCACTAGATTAGTTTCCTGTTCACTTGAGTTATTTATTCTTCTTTTAGCTTACATTCTCTTATCAGGGATTTTTCTTTTGCATTAGGTTTAGGGACTTTTATTTTGCATTAGGTTTAGTGATTTTTCTTTTGCATTAGGTTTAGCAATAATACAGATCTCACTCACTTCGGCACACCCAGAATTCACTGTGCACCCTAATATCATGCAATTTTTGAAGAGATTTAGTTTTTTTATATAAAAAGGAAAAAGGGGGATACATTTTTATTCCGATGAACTGGTGATGTATTCACCCGACTGCAGTTTAGATAGATCCGCGTTTTTTTTCTGTTTCGTTTTTTATTACTTCTTCGGTTTCTCTTTTGGATCTTGTTTGGCTTTGCGTCACTAGAGTAATAACCTTTCTTTATTATTTCCATGCGGTTTAGGTGTGGTACTTACTTCTAATTGATCATACAACGAATTTTGAATTTATTATTTATATTTTCGATTAAGCCTCCGATTCACTTTGTTTTTTTTATATGCATTTCGCGATCGATCCACGTTTTTTTTTTGCTATGTGCCAGCCGACCCGTTCATTGTTACGATCGTGAGTGAGTGATATACCGGTCAGTTGATAACATACGTAGTACTGCCTGTATGTATGTAGGTACTCATGTCTATATGTATGTATGAAGTTTCTCCCCACGTAGGCTCTTCTCCGGAATGTTGGTACCATCATCGAAGGAGCGGACAAGGTGAGTGAGTTAAATTCTTTTATACTCTAACGTACATATATACCTAGATACATAGCTTTCAAAAAGATCAGCGAACATAAGTACATGCGTAAATACATAATTAGGTACTGAATATGCTTTATTATTATTTAAATGGTATACATACTAATGGAAGTGGAAATCAATGGTAAATATGATTTCTGGATTGAAACTATCCCAGCGTAGGTAGATCGCATGTACTTATTAAGCAATTATACGTCTGGTTAGTTTGCTAAAGCTACGGTTTGTTTTGTAGGCATTCCCTTTTGATTACCTTTGTTTGAAATCTTTCGCATTTCGGTATTAATTGATTGAGTTCTTTTGTACATACGTGGGTTATACATGCACATATGCACATAATGTGAAGTTAGTTAGGCTAGCGTGAATGGAATTATAATGATGTCTTCGAATTAGTAGGTTAATGTAAGGAAATAATAGGGTTAGCGATTAGAGATTGTAAGTATTGGATTAAATTAGATTAATAAATATGAATTTTGGATGAAGCTTTGTATAAGAAAATGAGGCGTTAACTTCCTTATTTCGGTGTGGGTGTTGCGCTTGTGCGCAAGAGGGGACGTGGGAGTGATGACAGGCGACAGGACTGATGGACTTAGGACGACGGTATGGCTGACTGACGGACCCGAGTCAGGTTAAGGAGGCGTTGTAAGGTGAGAGGAGTCAGCACAACGCCCATGGCTTCGCGTTAGCCGAACGCTGAAGAGGGTGGGTAGACTCCACCTGACGGGACTGGCCTTTTTCATTTTTTTCTTCTACTTGTTTGCTGTTTTTTCTTTTGGTTTTCCTGGTCGATACTTCTACTGTCTTCTTAACTTACATATGTCGGCATGACGGAACCTATTTTTTGTTAGTGTGGTGTAGGCAAGGCGAGTGCAACAGACCCACCCCAGCCGATGAGCTATGCCAGGCACTGCCAGCATGCCGACTTGCAACTCGACCGTAAAACAGCAGTACAGCCACATAACAATGGCGCCCCACGGCTATAACCCAATCTTTAGATTTACCATTTTCGCTCTATCAACTATTCTGCTTATTACTTCTACTTAGCTTAATCGTACTCTATCTCCACTTTTATCTTTGCTATCTCTATTTCTGTTAATATCGGACAGTGTTACGGAATCATGACTACAAACACCGTTTCGATCCGTCTTAAGTGGTTCGTGTCGTCATGATGAAGAGTGGATTTCTGCTTAGTCGCTTACAAAGTTCCTTAATCAGATTCCATTTGTTTGTTTAAGTGGTAGTTGGCGGTGACTTTGGCACAAATTTTGAGGGGGATCTTAGATTAATTTTAATTTTTTTTTTGTGAAGGCAGCTGTTCAAGCTACGTTACTGGTAGTCCAGCATTATCAGTAAGTGAGGCTTAGAGCGCGTTTTCGAATGGGGTAAGGGAAGTATGGCAACCACACTTAGTGTTTAACCACTGAGTGGAGTAGTGCCTAACTGGTTATAACTGGGGAATTAGCTGACTTGACTTTGGACAGGGGACATACGGACTTACTACTCTCACCATGACCTCGCCAACACCTCACACACCGATCAAATCATTAACAATTTTTTTGGAAAAATATTTGCGAATCCTTTATACGGGGAATACAAACAAGGAAACAAATAAAGTGCAGAGAATTTGAAGTGAACAATTAAAACGTGAACTAATTTTGTTTTTCAGTACATTTCTTTTATTTGTAACCTCATTTTAATACTTAGGATAAATTAATACCTCTTAGTGCATGCATATATACAAACATATATCTTATATCTACTACCTATATAACCATATATCTTTTTGGCATACTATTTCACATTGCTATTTACCACTTTTCTATTTTTTTATGAGTCATAACACTGAACTTGAATTGTATGATTTTTGCGGTTTTTTATTGAATATTCATACATACATACTTGCATGCATATGTACACATTTTGAAATTCTTGAATTTTTTGGGTGAATTTCTTAAGCGTTTCTTGGATTTATCTATTTATTTTCTTTGTTGAATTTTTTTTGAAATTTGGGCAAAATTTTAATTGAATTTAGTTTTTGTTACCGCGGTGTATTCGTGCGTACTTTTTGAATTCGTGTTAATTAAGTTAAAAAATTTTTGGAGTGAGTGACTGTCTGAAGAAGAAAACCAGGGAAGAGCGATACGCGGTTTAGGTATCCTTAGCAAAGATAGGCCAATTACTCGTAGCATTTCACGTGCTCTAGAGAACCTGGTTGTCGGTTCTTTTTTTAACTAAATTGATACGGGGATTGAACGTCCGGTAGATTTCGTTCCCTCGGACTTTTTCAATAGATGCGCCAGTAGAATTTTTGGTACGATTAACACTGAGCACCTTGTCCATAACAAACGAAATATCGATCGGATAGTCAAACAATAACATCATTAGTTTTTCTCGAAAACTTGATTTATTGTGCCAAATGTTGGAAGGTAGTGTTGTAGGAGCTGGGAGGAACGATGACTTTGTGGAAGGTGAACCACCCCGGGACTCGGTAGCTGTGACTAGTATCGAGCAACTGAGCCGTCTAATGGCAATGATGGCGCATCAGAACGATATGATGTCGCAGTGTATGAATGAGGTAAGGCACATGAGGGACAATGTTTCGAACCTCAGCGGCCGAGTAGCCGAAATGAAGACGTCCGCGCATGCACTGGGTCATCGTTCCAACGCAGCATCAACTCCGGAGAATAGAGGACGTGGAGACAACGCCAGGAATTGTGCTGATGAACACGTTGATGACAGAAGTACGGAGATGGCTAGTTAGGACACGCGAGAGCCACCGAGATGGAAGAAAATTGACCTCGAGAAGTGGCACATAAAGTTTGATGGCACAGGCAAAGGGATAAGTGTGGAGAGCTTTATCTTTCGCGTCGAAAAATTAAGTGAGCAGAACAACATCTCTTTCTTCCAGCTTTTCACGGACTTTCACTGTCTGGTTTCCGGCGGCGCCTTGAAGTGGTATTGGCAGGTGCTCGAGGACCATGCTGATAGTCCCGACTTTGGATATTTTGAGCTGAAGGCGGAACTGCTAAACCACTTCAAGACTGCTGAGTCCGACTATGAAATCATCCGTGAAATCACGGAACGAAAGCAGATGCCGAATGAGAGTTTCGACGAATTTTATAGCGAAATACACAACATGACTTTCAGACTCCGCAAAAAGATCCCTGAGAAAGAGATGGTGGGCATAATTAGAGGTAACCTCAAATCCTACATAGCAAACTCGACGTTCGCGTCCAAGATGGAAACGCAGGCAGAGCTGAAAGCGGAGTGCAAAAGGGCAGAGAAAGTGATAAAATAAGACTAGAGCAGATAGGAGAGAATAGAGTAGAAGCCTTTGATAGGAACCACATTAGTAGGAAACCACAACACGTCGTCCCAGTGAAAGTTTGCGATGGTACGTCGGCATCCACGTCTATTTGTCCTAATGTCCAAGTCTACTGTGAAATCCTTTTGTCCTTCGCCCTTCCATTTGATGTTGTGTTTCGCGTGTGGCATGCCGGTGGATCACTTTGCTAAAAACCCGGCCAAAGCCCAAAAAGAAACTAAATGTAAGTCCTCGTTCCAAAATATGGCGTGTTTTGCTTGTGGTAGTGACTCGTCCTTTTGTGTCTTCAAAAATGATAAGTGAAACTCCAAACTGGCGGAGATAACCGGGGGTTTCAGCCAGGAGACGGGCAACCCGGAAGTGAGGAAGTAAAGATATTGAAGAGAGAAAAGGAAAATGAAACTAAAGTAAATAATGAAATAGTAGGGAAACCGGAAATAAAAAGTTTACATCAGCGTAAACTAGAATACGAAGAGGCGCGTAGAAGAATATTTTGCGAAGAGATAGTCAGTAAGAAGAAAAGCAGGAATTTTAGGAAAATAGCCAAGATGAGGGAAAAGAAAAGAAACTTTAAGAGAATATATAATAAAATAATTTCAACAATAGTCACTGTTAAGGGAGATAACCGATTCTTTGCCAAGACTAAAATTGGGGAGGTGCTAGCGCTTTTGGACTCGGGGCAGGAGCTAGCTGCCTGGACAAGAACGCGAGTATGCTACTGGGGGGTAATGAGGACGGAATTCTGCCGATTAAGGGCCAAAATATCAGAACTGCCAATGGTGAGGAGACCGCAGTAATAGGGGCCATCAAGCTACCACTGTTGTGGATAGTGCTACAAGAGAGCTAGAGTTTTTAATAGTGCCTGGGCTACAACAACAGGGGTATTTAGGAGTCGACTTCTGGCAAACCTATATAATGAGTGTTGTGAACAAAGGGATGAATGTGAGTGCGGATGGTGCTAGGGTTGCTGAACTCGTTCCCGCCGATGGTGACCTGTCCTTCGACGCCGTGCAGCACTTACTCACATTAGAACAATCCAACGCGTTAGAGTGGGTGAGATCACAATTCCCCTCATTTGCGGTATCAGGGTTAGGTCGGACAGAGTTAGAAGAACATTTCATTGAGGTCACTGACGAGAATTTGAGATTGAGCACCGAAAGGGCACGCAAAATGTCGTCCCGGATACGCTGTCCAGAATGAATATGGACGAAATAAAAGTAAGCGACAGAGTAATCGACGTATGCCTCGAATCTCCATGTTTTGCATCTGAAGAGTATGAAGAGCTGATAAGGACAGTAACTGAAAACAAAGACAGACTTCCTGACCTGTGCGTATCGGACGGCTACGTTCACCGGCGAGCACAGTTTGACAGGGGAGACGAGCTTCAAGCGGACCAAGCCTGGAAGCTTTGGGTTCCGTCGGAGTTGCGACCGGGGTTGGTTGAGTCTTCTCACGGCTCGCCTTCTGCTGGGCACGGTGGCATCCACAAAACCTTGGCACGTCTGCGCGAAAAATACTACTGGCCAGGAATGGTAGCCGATGTATGCGCACACATAAAAGAATGTGAAGTGTGTAAAACAAACAAAGCATTAAATGTTTTCAAGAGACCGCTAATGGGCAAACAACATGTAACAGAACGACCTTTTCAGCGTTTGTTTATAGATTTTATAGGTCCGTTTCCTCGTACTTGTGATGGTAATGTGTATGTCTAGATCATTTGTCGAAATTCGTCTGTTTAAAACCAATGCGTAAGGCAACTTCAGCTAAAGTCATACAATTTTTAGAAAGAGATGTTTTCCACGTATTCGGCGTACCCGAATACGTACCCTCCGATAACGGAAAACAATTTGTGTCTGACATGTTTAGCAAGTTCCTGGAGAAATACAGCACAAAACACATTAAAACAGCGTTCTACTCACCTCAGGGAAACGTTTCTGAGAGGGTCAACCGATCTGTATTACAGATAATCAGGTCATTTATCAAAGAAAAGCAGAGAAACTGGGACAAGCATGTCAGCGACGCGGCCTTTGCACTTCGCAGTATTGCACACTCAGCAATCAATATATCGCCGTACCACGCCACTTTCGGTATGCCTATGATACAGCATGCTGCATCATATGAGCTATACCGAAAGCTGGGCGCCTTGAGAGACAGTGATTGCGAGGTGGCGGTAAAGAGCTGAAGTTAGCCCATGAAAGGAGCACAAAGTGTTATAATACTAGGAGTAGAGGTATAAAATTTAAGATTGGACAAGTGGTATATCGCCGAAACTTTAAACAAAGCTCGCAAATTGAAAATTACAATGCTAAGTTAGCGCCGAAACATATAAAATGTATCGTTTTAAGCATTATCGGAAATTCTATGTATGAGCTCGGTGATAGTAGTGGGAAAAGGATCGGCATATACCACGCTAAAGACATTTTT